GGTAATTCTGCAGTGTGTCTGGTCTCCCTGAATTTTCCTGAGCATGAAGCTAACTATTGTAGCTGAATGTATAGCTCCCCTAAAGCTGCCTTCCCTCTATGTAGCTAGTGTTGCTGTTCTCTTCTCTCTAATGAACTAATTGCATGAGAATTCTGGCCTTGGCATCTGCTTCTGAGAAAACACAAGCTAAGACGCTGCTTTTTTAGAAAACTGCCTGGGCTGCTAGAGGGATTCATTCTTTCCTTGAAAAGAAAGTTTCCTTGGGCAGATGTTTTGGGGTCATGATGAAATTCATTCCCAACCTTCCTGCCTAGTGAAACTCAGTAACACATGACATTTCCCATTACAACTTTCCCTTGTCTTAGAGACTCAAAGAAAATTTGCCATAAGATAAATCATAGTAGTGGTCTGAAATATTTTTATATTATCTTTAGTAAGAATTATGTCTTATATTGCAACTTACTATAAATACACATATACTATATGTAACAGTGAAACAAATCTCATTAAATTTATCCTTTTGCCCTTAATATTTGTGATCTATGCTGATGTTTCTATCCTGTTATATTTTATTAATAAATGAAAGTTGCTACACACTGCATTAATTTTAAAATTCTATTATAGGGGCTATGGTCTAAATATTGTGTCCCCTGCGAATGTCTATGTGGAAAGCTTAACCCTTATCTTGATGCTGTAAGGAGGTGATCAGGTCATGACAGCAGAACCCTCATGAATGAGATTAGTGTCCTTATGGAAGCCCAACTCCTCTGCTTCTGCGAGGTGAGGTCACAGCAAAAAGACTGGCCTCTATGAAGAGGCTCATCACTAGACAGCAAATCTGCTGGTGCTCAGATCAGAGACTTCCCAATCTCTAGAACTGTGAAAAATAAAGCTCTGTTGTTTGCAAGTTGCCCAGTCTATGGTGTTGTTACAGCAGCCTAAACGGACAAAAGGTCATCACTCACAGTGATAACACTTGCTGAAGGAGACACTTGTTGCAACAGATCAGGAAAATGGAATTCAGAAAGGAAGGAAGTTCAAAGGAAGGATTTGCAGAACGATTACTTATCTCTCACAGCTATCACTGCTTAGTTCTGATAGCTACCCAATGACCTTTTTTGTTTGAAATGTAAGTTATTACCATCCTGTGCTGCTAGAAGAGAGAAAAAAAATATAATGCAGGAACTAGCATACTCAGGCCCTGTGTATGAATTTTTCCAGGTGTCTCCATTCCAGGATGAAGAAATGCTGTGGGGTCAAATGAAGCAACTAGGTACTGAAAAGTGGGAGGATCCTGGAGGCCTGGACCAGCTCCCCTGGGCTTGTACCTGCTCTTAAGGATAGCTCATGCATATTCTGGATGGCTGGAAATGCAGAAGCAGGGGTGCACATGTGTGTTCTCTATGATTTCACATACGTGTGTTTACTTAGGGCTGGCTCTGCAGGTTCACAAGATGCTCATTTATATAGGAGACTCTGAGGAAATACAATGAAAGGAAACCTTGAACTCCAAGGTTAAGCCTTCTGTCTGGCAAAGAGCAAGAGTTTAAACTTCTCAGGCATTCAAGGGGAGAATCTTCTGAAGGTAAAGCAGTACTATTATATGCTCTGTAAATGATTTTATAATCATTTAGCATGAACAGAGGGCTGTATGTGTACGTGTGTTTACAAAACACATTAGCAGTGTATAATTAACTTTTGCAATAGTTGGCTAAGGAATGAACATGCCAGGGATCCTAAGCTTGCATTTGAAAGACCAAAACCAGCTATCCTTTAATAGCTTCCACTCTAGTGAGCATAAGAGAGTTTGCTAGTTGGCAAAACGGATACCAAGGATGAATACTCCTTGGTGAACGGGGTGACAAATATATGTGGATTTTTAGGAAATATCAAACAGGCACTTCTGCCCTTATGTAAGAGGGAGGAAGAATCCAGACAGAGCTCCATGGCCTACCCCCTTCACAGGGGCGTTCTTGGGCCAGGGCCTCATTCAGTAGCTCAGTAAGACCCTGTGGCTTGATTCAGACTGGAAATGTAGCTGCATTTTTCATCAGAATTTTCATGCATCTGCCTAGAATGACACTTTCATGCCTTGTGTGGCCTGGTACTTCATTGTGTTTATTGTGTCAGATTATATAGTTATGTTGGAGCATGCTTTAATAAGTGGTACTGTAGTGGGAAATACAACATATCACCTGGTAGGGGTGGAGGATCATGCTTCCCATCTGTTCCTTGCTGCTCGAGGTGATCAGTGTCTGCCTGAGTAACACAGAGCTCGCTGAACAACCACATTCACTCAGGTCAGTTCCTCAGGTTCACTCATATGATCTAAGAAAATGAGAGCAAGAGAGGAACTCTGGTTTTTGACCACAGCTTTGTGAATATAACTAGACTCATCCCTCTACTCAGCCCTCCCAGTTCTATGGGCCATGACAAGGAGTGAGTCAGAAAAACCACCTCATTCTGGTCTCAGTGAAAAATGTGGAGTGGGAGCCCTGCTTTGAGGCACAGGCATGAAGTGGGCAGCAATATGTTTTTTCTTTAAAACAGGATATGAGTAATGTTTGATTTCTTTCCTCTCTCTAAATAAATTGGGTATGCTGCAAGCCGCCATTTGGCCTGAGTGGTGGAAAGGTTATGCTTTGTTAATTATGGTGTTTGTCTGTGGGCCATATTAATGTCCCATATTTGATCCACAAAGATCACAACTTATATGCCCAGTGTTCAAAACTTCACTACTCTTTTGGAGTGGAAACTCTTCTGGAGTTGCCATTCTGGGCACTAGGGTCATTGCCAAGGCTGGGAGCCCAGTGCTTGGAGTCCAGCCTCCTTAGCAAATGCTAGGCTATTGTTCCCTGCTGAGATACCATCACATCTTGGATTGCTGCAAGGGACCAGTGCACAGGCTGTTGGTGCTTATGTAGCCCACAGAGCTTTGCTGTCTTATAAGTCATGGGAGATGGTCCCCAAATTGCTTTCTGATTTTGCTTTTTCCATTCCTTTCACTTCTGAGAGTATTCCTTATAATGACCCGCCAAGGGGCCTCAAGAAACACAAAGTAAACTCTTCATCTCAGAGCAGTGGCAGGAGAACAATTGGTTTCAAACATAGTTCCCACAGTGTAACCCACCCATGCCAAGAGCCACATCCAATGACATCAGAGATGGATGAGAAGAATAGCTATAGAATTGTCACCTGAAACTACCCAGCAAATGGGATGTGACTTTAAGAGATATGAAGTGGCACAGAAAAAAAAAAAAGGAAATATTCTTAAAGTGAAAGAAAATTACTTGCTTTTGTGGGGGGACATATATGTTTTTATTTTGCAAGAAAACACATATTCAGTTATTGTTAACAGCACAGATACCATTATTATGATATTTGTTATTCATATGAATAGCTTATTTTAATGATGATCTGTATTAGCTGAGCATTAGATATTTTCATGCCAGTGATATCATTTGCTCCTGACATCCTGGGAAGGAGACATGGCACATGGGATTTCCCCATTTAGCACACATAGTTAAGGAAAGTCAAGTGCTTTTCATGTTAATTGACATACAAGGTTAGTCAGCAGACAGTTTAGTGGAACTAGGTGCAAGTACATTATTCTTCTCCTTGACCATTCTGTCCTAAGCTGTAAAACTTGGAGTGAAAATATGGCCTGTAGACAACTGACTTGTATTCTCATTACTTTAAAGTCCATCTTTCAAATTAGCCATGAAAGACTTTTCTTACAATATCCAAAGAATGATTAAATGCTCTTTGCTTTTAGATTACTTATTTAATCCCAACTGAGCCAAGTAAATGAAACTCCCTGCATGTTGTAGTTGAGAGCAGTTTGGCAAGATATAAGTATGTGGAGGGATTAGGCATGTGCATTCATTCATTCGTTCATTCAGAAACATGCAGTAACAACTACCATGTGCCAAACCTTGTCCCAGACTCTAGCACTGCTCTTTTTTTTTTTTTTTTTTTTTTTGACAGGCAGAGTGGACAGTGAGAGATAGAGACAGAGAGAAAGATCTTCCTTCGCCATTGGTTCACCCTCCAATGGCCGCCGTGGCTGGCGTGCTGCAGCCAGCGCACCGCGCTGATCCGATGGCAGGAGCCAGGTGCTTATCCTAGTCTCCCATGGGGTGCAGGGCCCAAGTACCTGGGCCATCCTCCACTGCACTCCCTGGCCACAGCAGAGAGCTGGCCTGGAAGAGGGGCAACCGGGACAGAATCCGGCGCCCCTACCGGGACTAGAACCCGGTGTGCCAGCGCCACAAGGCAGAGGATTAGCCTAGTGAGCCGCGGCGCCGGCCGCACTGCTCTTTTCAACGTAGCAGCAATGAGACATGAGAGGTATTTCAATTCAAATTAATTGAAATCAAATGAAGTAAAAAGTTCCTTTCTTCAGTTACACTAGCTGTGTTCCAATTACTCAGTAGTCACAGGCAGCTAATGACTAGTACATATTTTAAAAAATATTTGTACTTTATTAAAATTATAACAGTAATACTGAAACTATTTAAAGAATGAAAAAGCAAGCTGCAGTTTCAGAAAATATATGCACAACACACACATATATAATAAATAATTTAAATATAGGGAAAATATATGTGTATTAAATAATGGGACTGGCATGACAGTTAAAATGAACAAAATATTCTGTACAAAAGAGGCTATCTAAGTGACATATATATATATATATATGAAAATGTGTTTAACATTAATTGTCAGGAAAATGGATCATCATGGAAACAGAGCATTTTTTGGTCACAAAGTTAGATATAGAAGGATCACAGTCAATTCTTCCATTTTAATAACTTGTAACTATGGCATGCCTGGTATGCAGAACTTAGTGCTATGTGTTCTATAACAACACATTTTACAACAGGGTCCATTCTACAATAGGGTATCAGTTTAGTTAGGCAGGTATTTATTGTGCTAGTCACTAGACTACATTCTATGGATTTAATGATGCCTAAAAATTGTTCTTTGCCTCCCTGTAGTTTGCAGTTCGATGAAGAATAAAAGGCTGTAAAGCCTTGGGGACCAGAGCTACTTTCTTGCCTGGGAAAGTTACAAGAGGAAAACACCATCGTTCCCATTTCTTCTGTCTTCTCAAAGTATGTGCTTTGTTTCTAGAACAACACAGAAAATACCTTAATAACTGTATTATGTAATAAGCAATTATTATAATTTTGCATAGACATTCTCAAAGCACTGGGCTCCTTTTGCTCTCCTTTACAAATGAGCTTGGACCATGGAGTGGGAACCATGACAACTCCCAAATTCATTTAGCAACATTGATCCCAGGCAGGCAATTAGGCCTTATGCCAGTGATGTCTCTCACTGCACTCTGCTCTTACAGCTGAGAGACCTTCCTCCTGCCACCCAGCCCTACCCTAGATCAGGTCAGGGGGGATATTGACTTTTCACAATGGCCCCACAGTCCTAAATGTGCCCAGCAGCCATCATGTATTGAGACTTCTGGCAATGGCTGTTTTGTGTCTTCTCTCCCTTTAGCATGTTTTATTTAAATTTCACAGATAATGAAATAGTCATATCCTCCACAGTAAGATAACTTATTCGTGAGTAGTGGTTGAATATTAACTGTATTTTCTGAGATGTCTGAAAGAAATATCTATTTTTTGACTGCAATTTGGAGGCAGGGGAGTTATCCATGGCCATCTGGGACTGGGGCCAAGGCTTTAACCCTGAAGTTCATTTCTCATTGGTATTGATGTTCTTCTATGGGGAGGAAGTTGCCCAGGAGTGAAAACATGACTCTGCCAAAATAGAATTTTATTTTAAGCTGGCTTATTTCCTCATTTAGTGACCTTGCTTAGTTTCTTCCTCCTGCGCCTGTGTCTCTGTCTCTTTAATCAATACAGACATAGCACTTATTCTGTCTCTGTATGATTTGATATTTTTGCAATCTTAATTGTTAAAGAGACTGGCAGCCTAAACTTTCAGCCTGGATTTATTTCTTGTTCCATTGGTGACTCATTAACTGAACCTGGATAGATTCTTCATCCTTGGTGCTTTATGCTTCCCTTCTGTAAAATGGGATTATCAGTGAAACTCTTTTCCTGTCTCATGGGAATGCAAGAGGACATATTTGTGAGAGAGATTGGGTGATTAGATTTGATTTTTATGGATATTTAGATTCCAAATAGATGTGTTTGCTCATTTCTCTGTTACCTCCCTGTTCCTAAGTAGCTTCCCCTCCTTCCACATCTCCTTGAATGGGCAACCCTTGAAACCGGGAGGCTGTGCTCCCATAGCTGATGCTTGTTGAACCAGGGAAAACAAAAAATATAGGGGGAACTCAATCTATAATCTCATTGGAGCCAGTCAGATGTCCCCTTTCAGTCCCTACATATAGAAACACAAAAATGGAAGTCAGAAGAGTCCCTGAAATCAAGGAGATTTTGGGAATTTTTGGCTCCATCCATATTGATGGTCACAAGAAGAAATTTGGTCTATTAAAGAAGGCAAGAGAAATAATTGAATGTGTTAGAGAAAGCAGGTAAGTAAGGCACTGCAAAGAGTGGGGCAGGATCGTGGAGTAAGGGGCTGCCCAAAATGTTTTGACTTCTGTGAGGACTGGCTCTATTTTAGGCATTTTCACGTGGTAATTCACATCACAGTCCAGTGAAGTAGGATGCATTATGGCGGCTGATTTGGAGAAAGTAGCCAATGATAAAATTTATCCATGCCACACAGCTGATTCTGAAGTTGGTTGAGGATTTGATTGTAGTTCCTGCCTCTGAGTTCAAAGTTGCTTTCTGCCACACAATGGCTTATTAGATGCTTTCATTGTTGTTTAAGGTTGAAGTCAGAAAGAGAAATAAGAAGATATAAAGAAACATCTCTAGTCTATCATATATTCTGAAGGCTGATATTTTACTTGTAATTTGCATGAGTAATACTTGACATCATTCCAGATATTTGTCATAATGCCAGTAATCTCACTATTAAATTTATTTACTCCTCAGGAATGTAAATGACACTATCCTTTTTTCCTACTCTTCCCACTCAAGTCATTAGTCATTTCTGTTAGAACAGGAGTGTAGGTTTGCAAGAGGATCATATATTTTAATTGGTATTTACTCATTTGATAGGTGTTTTTGAATTTGGTTATCTTCTCTGTTAAGCTTGCATCTTCAAAAATACTAGAGGAATAATCACAAAAAGCAAGCGCTGACATTTCATTTAAGTCTTAAATATGTATGAAGTATGTATTTAGCTCACCAAGTCAGTTAGTGGTGTTCAGTTTTCTCAGTGGTGGAAATGTTTACTCAAAGTGTTACGATGACAATTAACATGAGAAGAAATTAAACCAGTACTTGTCTGAGGGAAAATGGTGTGCATCGTTCCTCTGATCCTGACCTCCTGTCATCTTACTGAAGGAAACTAGTCAGTCCTCTGCATGCTAAAGGGTATAATTTTAAAGCTAATGTATTAATCTGTAAACTTCATTGTCAGTAAGTTTTATTTTATAAAAAGTTGTCTTCTCAGCAAAAAATAGCACAATATTAATTCCAGCTTAGAATTGCCTTTGTAGATGCTTCCCTGAGCTCTGAGAAGATGAAAGCCTTTGTCTTTCTCATCTCTGTTTTGCTTATCTTTCTATTCCTTATAATATCAAATAGTAGCTCCATGAATACCTGTTGAAGGAAGGAAGTGAACAGTTATGGTAAGAGAGCCTTAGACTAGAGAATACATTATTTGCATAGCTTTTAACCACTTGCTCTTTCTTTGTCCTATTGGAGACACAGTGCTATTGTAATATTGCAAAATAATGCTGCTACTGCTGCCACACTGTACTTTCTCCCAAGAACATAGTGAGTTTCTCCATCAAGAAGAGCTTTGAAGCTAATAGTTATGATTATTAAGCTTATTGCATAATCTTGAGTGAGTTATTTAACCTTTCTGAGCCTTCCATTGCCTGATCTCTGAAATGACTATGGTATCCACTTGACCTAGACAGTAACATGTAGGACATAGGAGCACTATGAACAATATTTGTACAATGCTTAGTGGATTGTTGTTTGTACAGTATGTGTTCAATAACTGGAAACTATTGTCATTTTGAGAGTAATATGAAAAGTAATGAGGGAAAGCACAAAATCACTGTGAAATGTGACCATGCCGTCACTATCAAGCCAAATTCCATCTGTCAAGGTGCACATGGCTCTGTGCACTTCCCAGAGTACTCACTGTGTTATATGGTCAACAGAGCTTTCTGTTCTGGAGCTGGCAGGTAATCAACTCTTTTCCAAGAGGTTATGCAATGTGGTGGAGGATTGAAAAAGTATTCTCTCAAAAGGAATATTGACTAATGCCTGGGATAGTTATTACTCATTAATGCTTGGCATAATATTAATACAACTAGAAAAGAGGAGATTTCTTTGTTGGCCATTAATCAAGTGGCTCAGATTGGCAGCTGTTGCCTTCTGTAAACAAATAATTGCCTTTTCCCTGTTGCAAATACCCCACCCTTTATGCCAGTTTTCACATTTTTAAGTTGTTCTGTTTAAGTACAAGGTAAGTGTAGTTTTTTCTTTTTAACATTGTTATTCAATTTTCTATAGTATCAAATCTCTCATTCTAGTAGACTTTTTTCACGTTCTGCATTTCTAACTTTGACCATTCCTCTATCATCACAATAAAAAAAATACTTAATTCCTTAGTAAGCTGTAACTTTCTAACTCTGTGGAAGGTTGAGTGAGTCACAGCATAGTGGAATTGATGAAGTCAACAGCTGCTGGGAAAACATCTTTTTCCTTAATAACTGTATCAACATGTGTTTGGTATTATTCAAGTAAGGGAAAAGCATATATCAGACATCCATGGTAACTTTTGCTAAAATTTTCGTTTAGGAAACTCTTGTGTGTTGGCATAACAAAATGTTCAGACATACAATAGACGAAGTTTTAATAGGGAACAAAATCATGGAGAAAGTGGAAGAAGAAAAATAAATGGCAAGACTGTTGTTGATGATTATTTCAGAGTGGGTTAGGTGACTTTTGCATGGCATTATTATTGGGGAAGAAGGAATTTGGCATGTCATGCCTTCATAGTATCCAGAATCATGTGACTGTCCATCAATTCATCATTCCAACATGTATTAATTGTATATTATGGAAAATCTCTGCCTCGTAAGAGAAAGATTAAAAATTGTTAACAGTAAAATAAAATAATTGTTCAATATGATACGTGGTATGACAGAAATAGGCAGGAGGCTAAAACAGAGATTAAGAAGCTAAGATTTGCTTCCATTAGGGAAGTCTTAGAAGACTTATCTGAGGGGTGACATTGAAGTTGAGACCTAAAGGATGAGAAAGAGGTAACAAAATAGAGAGGACGGAATAAAAGAATCTCAGAGAGGACAGCTGCATGCAGTGTCCTCTGATTAGATATGGTGTAGCATGTGCTTGGGACTAAAAGCAGCTCAGTGTATCCAAAGCACAGATAGTGAGGAGGTGTTGGTATAAGATGAGGGTGGGGGCCGGCGCCATGGCTCACTTGGCTAATCCTCCACCTGTGGCACCGGCATCCCATATGGGCACTGGGTTCTAGTCCCACCTGCTCCTCTTCCACTCCAGCTCTCTGCTTGGCCCGGGAGGGCAGTGGAGGATGGCCCAAGTGCTTGGACCCCTGCACCCACATGGGAGACAAGGAGGAAGCACCTGGCTACTGGCTTTGGATCAGCATAGCTCCGGCCTTAGCGGCCATTTGGGGAGTGAGCCAATGGAAGGAACACCTTTCTTTCTGTCTCTCTCACTATCTAACTCATCTGTCAAATAAAAAAAAAAAAAGATGAGGATGGAGAGATAGATGGGATTTGAGTCATCTAAGACTTTGTAAGCCTTGGTAAAGAGATTCAATTTTGTGCTGGATGCAATGGGAAGTCAATGGAAAATTCTAACACTTAGAATTGCTCTCTCTTTCCCTGTGTGTATGTGTGTGTGTGTTTCTTTTCTCTCTGTGTGTTGTGCGTATACGTTCCTGTCTGGATTGTGTAAGACTTTGTAGGCTTTGGTAAAGGGATTCAATTTTATACTGGATGGAGAGTTTTAAGTTGTGTGTGTGTACATACCAGTAGAACAATTTGTGTTGTATATATCAAAATAGCTAGAGGAGTTGGATGTGGGGCAAGCATGGGAACAGAAGAGTAGCTAGGATAGCTTGGACAGGCCAAGATTTAAATGATGGCTGCTTACACTTAGGTAGCTGCTGCTGATATGAGGCAAGAACACAAAAGCAAGATTTGAGTGTAGAGATAAAATGGACAGATCCTGATAAAGGACTGGGTTTAGGGCTTGGTGGAAACAGAATATTCTGGGGTAACCTCTTGGTTTAGGGCCTGAATAACTACATAGATGTTTGAGCAATTTAAAGCAATGCAGAGTATTTTTTAGAATATAGGAAGCATCAATAGTCCAGTTTTGAATAAGATGTGATAGAGAGATCTGTAAGACATCCATGGGGAAATGAGATAATCTGAAAATAAAGTGTACAGAGAGACAAGAAGAGGGCTTATGATGGACCTTGATGGTATCTGAGGACACCTGGGGTAGTATCTCAAAAACAAAGCAACGAACTGAATTACTGAATTACAAATACCCTCTGGAAAAAGGATTGGGATTTGTAATTTCTAAAACAAACATCCTAAAGGAGAAAATGAAATTAGCAACAAGAAACAAGGAATCACCCAAAGGAATGATGTAGAATGTTAGAATCCAAAGCATAAGAGTTGACATTACCTAACAGGTGGGATGAACAGTGATGAAGGTACAGGAAAAAATGGATTAGTGAATAGAAAGATTAGATTGACAACTGCTTCTAGAAGGAAATAGAGAATGCAAAAGTTTAGTGTTAAAGATCCTAGAAGCAGAAATACCAGTTTCTAGATACTTGGAATCATTGAAGGAGAAAATGTAAAAAATAGATAAAAGAAAATATTTGAAGAAATATGGATAAAATTTTCCAAAGAAAGAACTACTGTTGATTGAAATGCCTTGTAAAGGACCAGTGGGCAATGTATGTTTTAAAAATCCACACACGATAAATTTTACTGAGATCTAAAATTATCACAAAAAGAAAATGATACATGATAAAATTGACATTAGATGGGGCTGTTGCTGTGGCGTAGCAGGTAAGGCTGCCGCACTGGCATCCCATATGGGTGACGGTTCGAGACCCGGTTGCTCCACTTCCGATCCAGCTCTCTGCTATGGCCTGAGAAAGTAATAGAGGATGGCCCAAGTCCTTGGGCCCCCGCACCTGCGTGGGAGACCCGAAAGAAGCTCCTGGTTCCTGGCTCCTGGCTCCTGGCTTCGGAGCGGCCTAACTCTGACCATTGCAGCCATTTGGGAGTGAACCAACAGGTGGAAGACCCCTCTCTCTCTCTCTTTCTCTCTCTGTGCCTCTCCTCTCTCTGTGTAATTCTGACTTCAAGTAAAAATAAATAAATCTAAAAAAAAAAGAACAGAAAAAAAATATGACATTGAAATTTTCAAGCTTGATACTGGACATCAGAAACAATGGAGGAATATTTTTAAAGTACTGAAGAAAAGAAATTTGCAGATAGAATTTTACAGATAACCAATGTACTATTCAAATGTGTGACTGCAATAATAATATTCTGTAGCTTATAATACTT